GCATCCTCTCTGTATGGCTCAGACCCCACCATCTCACGATTGTATGTGTGTGGAGTGATGCTATGTGAGTAAGTCTATGTGAGTCAGTCTTATGTGAGTCAGTCCGTTTATCAGACTTTCGTTGCATCTATACTCATCCTACATTGGTTGATTCTGGGTTCTGCCCATACTCATTGGAGTATGCAACAGAGGTCTCCTTGCCCAAAACAAAATCAGACCGGGTCCGGTACGCCCGCCAAAAAGGCTTGAAAAGGGCGGCTTATCTGGACCGCTGATTTTGAGAGATCAGCAGCCCAGATAGGCCACCCTTTTCGAAGTTTTTGGGTGGGAAGTACCGTCCCTAGCCTGCCACTAACACCCCCACCACTGTTTTTCAAAGTTTTTGGGTGGAAGGTCAACATTTGCAGAAAGCCAGATATGTTGTTGTCAATATCTCCTGAAGCCCGTGCTTGCTGAAACCCCACCACTAAATCCCCCACCATAACCCCCGACCTCCAATCCCTGAAATTGCTCCCCCCACCCTCCCCACAACGAAACTCTTCTGTTCAGAGTTTTCTTGGCGGATTCCGGGAGATGTCGGCGAGCGCAGTCCAACCATGTTTTCAAAAAAATATATAAAAAAATTTGACCCACTTCGAGCCAAACTGGCCCGGTCCAACCAGCCGGTCCGGTTGCGGGCACAGCCCTGGTTTAAAGGGCTGGTTTAAAGGGCAATTACTCGATAATTCAGAAATATTTTGTACATGGCAATTTGAACTCCGGTATGCTTATCAACAGTTCATGCATGCACCAAGTGGTGGTTTAAAGGCCAACAACTTGGCAATTCAAGAGTTATTTTACTCATACTTCACACACAATTGGAACTCAGGTCTACTAGGTTCCATGCTGTTTTCATGAAACAGCTTCTTCCGCACACCCCTACCCTAAATTGCCAAATTACAAGGGCATGCATAAAAAATACTCTTGAGAGAGAACCCAAATCAACCCCTGTTGTCTGCATATGAGCCAAGGCCCGTCCTTGCACCGCAGATCAGGATCAAATCCGACGGGTACAGGTTTCCGCGAGGTGCGGAGCTCAGTTCATCACAAGGGTGCCAACCATGAGTGAAATACCTGCACACCAATTGCTGGCATCACATGTCTACGCACTATGCAAAGTGATGTCACCTGGTCGAGATGACAAATGGAATCCGGAGTGCAAGCTGAGGCTGCAGTGCTGATACCCATTGCGAGACAAGGGCTTTGCTAAAACGCACACAGTCTGCTTCTTGGGTTAAGGAGACTTCTCAATTGTCGAGGATGACCAAATGTGTACACTGCACAGATTACAGAGTTACAAGATGAGGGTGCCATGAAGCTAGCATGCTTCTAGCACCTAATAACTCATTGGTAAGGATATGTTGTTTACATCATGCCACCTGCAGGGTTTTCCCCAGTACAATCGATGTCAGCCTGTGAATCGTTGTTCTTTTACAACACACAGGAAGGGGTGCTCCTATCACCTCTCTGGTAGAGGGTTGGTCCTATCACCTCTCTGGTAGAGGGTTGGTGTAGCGGACACACCAAGTGTGGTGCTCCGCTAGTGACACAGAGATGGATATGGAGGAAGAAGGGGGGGGAGCGAGATGGCACAACGCAGCTCCCCACGCAAGACTCCAACGCACGTACTCCAAAATGTGCAAGTGAAGAATGAGAGTGAAAACAGACAATGGCTGGGGTATACCCCAGCGGACTGACGGGACTGGACTGGACTGGCTGGTACCGACAGAGGTACCGGCCTGGACTGGCCTACCCCGAATACAACACAGGCCTGTGAGAACAGGCCAAGGGGCTGGTCTCACAGGCCAACCCGAGGTCCGCTACACGATCCTCGGCCTGTGATGGATCGCCTAGATACAAACTTGAGTAGTCTAGAATGCGGAGCAAGCTCCATGCTGAGTCCATGCGATGCAACCTAGGATATAAAATGTCACAAAACAGCAATGTCACAGCTAACAGCCTAAGTGAAAGTAGAAGCAACTAACTAACATACATGTCCTAGGAAAGCAAAAGCAACTAACTAGCATACATGTCTTAGGAAAGCAGAAAGTAGTGACAACTAGATCCTAGAATGTTGGAGGCACTAGCCTCAGTCTAGTAACAACTGACTAGTGTATAAGTCCTAAGAACAGCAAAAGCAGAACAACTAAATCCTAGAAATGTCAGAGGCAGTAGCCTCAGTCTGCGAGCAACAAAGCAACAACAAGTCTATCATATGTCACATGAGAAGTGTGTCGCAAACCGGTGGGATGGTCTCTGAGGGTGGCGAATGCAGCCTAGGGGTCGAAAACTCCTAAGGGCATCCACACATAGATAACAGGGAGACACATGTCATCAGGCTCAAGGAGGGTAGGGAACTGAGAGCGAACAGAACCAATGACCCTAACAGATAGACCATCAGGGCGCGTAATGCTCGACTAAGGGGTGACCGCTATGGAGGGTCGACCATGCAAAGGAACAGGGGAGCCTGGTATACTGGGCGCACCTAGATGAAGCATGCGGGGCTGCCTAACTAGGGCGTGAGGGCCGGCGAAGGGTAGAAAGATGATGGGTGAGGGGGCAACGCTACGGTCCCAATGCCTATGCGTATACCAAGGGAGAGCCCAACTCAGAGGAATCCGGCTAAAGGGAGACCATCATGCGACACAAGCAGGGTACTGTACAGGGTAGAGTGGTAAGAGAGTGGCGACGTCTGAAGTAGGCAGAGCTGATCGTGATGAAGTCCATGAAGCCGCCGATGACGTCCACGATGAGAAGTCCGGAATATCGTAGAGGAAGAGCCGCAACGTCGATGAGCTAAAGTAGCAAAATTGATGTGGATGG